TAATGACTCATTTAACAGAGGAGGTGCCGTAATTTTTTAGGACGTTTGCTACGAATAAGGTCTATACATTTATGTAGTTTTAAATTAAAGTCCGACAGTCAGTAAAATGAGCATCAGTCGCCGCCTGACAGTTGCAGTCAGGAGTTACAGCATGTAAAAGTTGCCAAAAATTCAACTTCACCGTAATAGGTGCCATGTTTCATATATTTGGAATTTTTCGTCAGCTAAAAATGTTTGGAGCTAGGGGAATAAAGATCGTCATACATATCTATGTATTAGTCGAAACGACTTAGAACGGACAGAAAATGGCTGAATATTTTTTTTTTAGTTCAGAATCATCTATCTAACTGTCTCGCAAAATTTAAAGAGCGGCAAAAAAAAACAAAAAACATTTTTTTATCGGCGACTTTCACGTACTGTAACTCCTGACTGCAACAGTAGTTGACCGACTGACGCTTACGGCTCACAAATATAAAAGGAGAAGTATTACTATCCCTGCCAAGGTTTTCCCGGTGGGCTACAATATTGGGTTCTTCAAGAAAATAGTAAATAGGTTTATTAAGGAAAGACAGAAAGAAAAATAATTTATTCGCCACCAGTCTTGGACCACCGAATATTAACACACAAAATAAACATTGAAAAACAAAATTAAAAAAATAATAATATCAGAACAGAAAATAACAAAAAAAACAGCAGTAAAAAAAACAATGAAGGCAAAAAAAAAACATTATAAAAAAGCAAAATAAAAGAAACAGGGTGGCAGCATGTCCACGACGAAAGGGCTCGCCAACTCAGTGTAAGCTGGGCACAGTAAGTACTCAACACTGGTTTTCAGTTGGCACCCCTGCAGTGACGCACGGACGGAAGCAATTGGAAAATTAACTGAAAGGTAAATAATAGGAATACATAAGACACATGTTAAAAAATAAAAAGGATCGGCAAAGCGCATGTAATGCCCCAAGTGTTGCAAGCGTTCATAGGCCACGGTAACCTCTTACAATCAGGTGGACCGTCTGCTATTTTTGCCACAGTCCTGGTATAAAAAAAATATTACTTGTATAATTCTACCTCGTTGCCCGAGTAGTCGCAAGTGCGACTGCCAGGCAAGGGGTTTCGGGTTCGATTCCCAGGTCGGGCAAAGTATTACTGGGTTTTTAAAAAAATTCAGTACTAGCACGGAGTCTTGAAATGTGCCCGGTATTATGGCAATAGGCTCACCCCTTATTACATGGGACTCATAACATAAATAGTGAAAAGTGTGTGTTACATTGTACAGTGGCATAATGTGCACCTCTGCCTACCCCTTCGGGAATAAAAGGCGTGATGTTATGTTAATACTCAGTGGCAGAGAAATGACTTTTTTAAAATAACGACACCTCTTTTACTATTAAACTGATATCAGAGACGTAGGTTGACCAAAATACCACATTTTGTAACCGAAGACGAGATATCAGTTGGAAGGTTACTGTTAACTAGATTATACTAAAAATATTTACTTTACTGCCTCGTTTGCCGAGTGGTCGCAAGTGCGACTGCCAGTCAAGGGGTGTCGGGTTCGATTCCCGGGTCGAGTTTTTATAAAAATCTCATTAGTAACACGGACTCTGGAATTGTACCCGGTATATGTCAATAGGCTCACCCCCTATTACATGGGATTCGTAACATAAATAGTGAAAAGTGGGTGTTACATTGTACAGTGGCATTAAGTGCCGTAATGTGCACCTCTGCCTACTCCTTCGAGGACAAAAAGTCGTGATGTTATGATGATGTTATTTACTTTGAGGTTGACTCATCGGCAGCTTCAGACCCTTCAAACCACCGCTGGGTAAGTATAAGGAGTATCCTCTAAAATGTTTACTTGTCAAGCATTGGGATTATAGGAAATTCTTTCTTCCTTTTTCTTTTTCAATTTTGGTTTTTCAATGTTATTTTATGTGCATATATTTGGTGGTCCATGCCTGGTGGCGAATACATTTTTTTTTCTTTCCTTCTTCTTTCTTTCCACAGAATTGACTACACGGTTGGCGCGGCAACTGGGCAACTGGCTGCCGCGCAACGGGTCACGTGTTCAATACCCGCACGGTACAACATTTTGTATGATCCATAGACTGTCTGGGTGTCATATTGTGTATATGAACTTGTATGTTTGTAAACATACCCGTGACTTAGGAGAAAATCTTAGTATGGGGAACGTTTCTTTAAAAAAAATACTATCTACGGGGAACACATACAGTACACAAACAAACCATTTCTTCTTACAATATCGAAGTTGTAAACACCAGTCTACATAAGTAACAAATGTCGGAGAGCCATGCTTCGGCACGAATGGGCCGTCTCGACCGGAGTGATACCACGGCCTCATAGAAAACCGACGTAAAGCAACGCTTGCATTGTGTTTCGTCGTGTGAGTGAGGTTACCAGAGCCCCAATTACCCTCCCCTTCCAGAATTTCCCCAATCCCTGAATCCCCAACGATCCTCAAACTCCTAATCCCTAAAAGGCCGGTAACGCACTTGTAATGCCTTTGATGTTCCAGGTGTCCATATGGGCGACGCCGATTGCTTACCATCAGGTGATCCGTCTGCTCGTTTACCGGCTTATGCCATAAAAAAACCATTCTTGTGAAGCAAATGGATTAATTTCGAAAATATAAGCGCGTGGGATAAATTCAGCCTATGTGTTTTTGTTTTTCCTGACTATAACCTACTCCTGTCTCAAATTACAACGCGATCTCTTCATCCACTTTGTCGTGATTGAGTAATAGAAAAAGTAAGACTGTGCAAATCAAAAACCAAATAATTGGGATGATGACAGGGTAAGAAAATTAAAAATCGAATTAGTCCCTAAGTTAGGTAATGATAAAATATTAGACACGTATTGTTTTGTTGTATAATAAAATAATACTTAGATACAATGAATCAAAGTTTAGCGGTGGGGGCTAAAACGTCATTTCTACGTATAAAATGTACATAGAAGTTACATCACGGGACATTTCAAATCAATGTATCGTCAAAAGTATTCGTTTCTGTAAGAAAATAAAAATACGTGTGTATCGTTTTAAAATAATCACGGAATATAGAATACAATGGAAGTAGCAAGTAGGCGTGGCACGCGTGCCACAGCTAAGCTGTGTACTGCTTACTCGAGGCAAAATTTGAGTTCAGTCTCGTTCGAAGATGGCGTCGAGTTGCTAGTCTCGTGTCAAATACATATTTCCTCAACTATGCCGTTTTGTTCCGTTTTGGCGTGTAAAAATGATAGCAGCCGAAAAATCGTAAAAATGGAGGTGTTCCGTATCATCGGTAAGTACAATTTTTATTGTTTTCTTGTAGAAATCTTATTTTATTTCAATTTACAAAAACAGTTATTAAAATAATATTATTTACTAAAACGGTTAGTCAAAATCAACCTTACGCCTTCAAGATAAAGTTTATTTTGGATTTATTCCATTCAATAGAACATTCTCGCCAGTTCTACGCTACTCAAATAGTTATGTAGTCAAATCACATATTGAATTTATCGATTGATATCGATGCAAGTGTAATGTAACATTTATTTAGATTATTTTTTTATTATTATTTTAGTGGTGACCCCGACGTGATTGGAAGCAACCTTCACTTCACGGAGCAGATCAGCACCGTCATCCTTATCGCCATCCCTCTCATTTATCACATTATCCATATAAAGTTTGTAAAAATTTATGTAATAGTTGTTACTTATATTGCCTATGTGAAATAAAAAAAATGATTTTTTGAAAAAAGAAACTAATAAAAAATACGAACAAAATGGTTTTTGATTTACATGTAAATAAATACTTACCCTTTTTTGTTACGTTTAAAAAGTTATCAACGACATATTAATTTTATTATTTTAATACTGTCACACTATAGCAGTCAATATTTTTTTTCATATTATTTTTAAAACACATTTTCATATTATCGATATTATTTTTATCGAATTATCCTACATCACTATCTGAGTAGAGACCCGCATTCGAGCCAGTGATAAGCCATTCAAATATCACCTTTATTCTTACAACGTTAAAGTTCAAACCAAGTACCACTTTTCGTCGCTAGATGGCATTGTTAAACGCCATCTAGCGACGAATGGCGGTACTTGGTAGTCCAAAACATACTTTTTTATTTTGATTTATAGTACATTGGTTTTAAAGTTGCATATCGTATGATATTTTTTTTGCATTTCGTTTACGCCCATTTTTTTTCTAACCAATCGTAATTTCCGATTTATAGTATGAGTAAATTATAAATGTATTAGTTTGGCGACACCGGTTCTGGCAGAAATATTGTTTCAAGCTACTTCCATTGTATTCTATATTCCGTGAAAATAATCTACCCAACGGACATTAAACTAAAAATTTGGCATCTACTCAATACCTGACACAAGAATCAAAACCAAAATCTCAGCTTTGCTGACAGTCCGACAATCATACTACAGTACAGATACAACAAAATATTATGCAAAAAATAAAAGTCGCTTGATATTTTTGAAATTCATTATTGCGTTACCCCATATTCTTACTCGTTACGTACAAAGCGGTTCATTGCACAATTTAGCAACAATAAATTTCAAAATGTCCGAAAAACTGGTTTGGTGTCCACCTCCTCATTACCTATAGAAGATCATATTTCGGTCTCCATTAAGTTATAGGATAAACCAAAAAAAAAGTTATTACGTCGAAAAGGATTATCCCCCAGTTATTCAGAAGCATGGTCGCACGTTAATAACTTACATCGAGTCTACTTACATCGCATATATACCAGTCGAGGGCATGTACTACCGCCGCGAGTCGTGCCTACACCTTTTTTATAAACTCATTCACTCAACCATGCGTTTTGTTTTTAACTAAATTAATTTCTATAAACAATAACCAACCTCTTTAGAAAAAAAAATTAAAATAAATTCTTATACAAGTGCTAAGATTAAATAAAGACTTACCGTTGAATACACAAGGTCCATTTTACGTGTGTCATCAAGTCATCATGATATCCATAAACGTTATTGTAAATGAGTTCTTCAAGATCCTGCAATCAGTAGGTTCCACGTCTCTGGTGCAATGGTTACTGCGAGTGCTAAGCATTTCCCAAGCAGTATTTCAAACAGGGTGGCCTGAAAACTACGAGATATCAGGTATGCATGGCTTATATTCATTACAATACGTAATTTAGTTATCTAATACCTTTTTTTTTAATTAAGACATCAAATTAATAGTAATCTAACAGTTTTGCCCTTCCTCTCTCCTATCAATCAATTTTAAATGTTGCTGTGCCCGACAGGGTCCATAATTGTTACTATTTGTATTTTTCTAACCACCTGTATATGTACATTATGGATGTAATAAATATTTGATTACTGATTATAAAAAATCCTAATCCAGTCTGTCTAACTAGACTAGACCACTGCGTAGGAGATATGTATTGTAGAGGTATAGCACAAGCGAATGCGCAAACACAGGTGTCCTCCCTATTGTTGTGTTGTTAAAACACCATCGAATTTCCTGACTCTGCACTAACACTTTTTTCCCGACATGGAAACCGAATGAGCGACTCGTTGCACGGTACCTGATCACCTAGACCCTTTTGCATAGGTACTTAAAGAAATAGATCTAAGTATATTAAAGAGCAGATAAAGTAAAACTATACCCAATGAGTGGGTAGGGATTAAATTAGCTAGTTTGTTTTAGATGTAAGATAATAATGTTTATAAATGTTGTATTTACCTATAATATAATCTAAGTATTTGTATTTTAGTGTATTTTAAGTTGTACATATGTAGCTATTAATTGTTTCCTTATTTTTAAAAGTAACTAATGTTTTTATAATAAGTTTTACTGTCAGAAAAAATGAACTAATTGTTACACTTACTGTAAAAAACTCACATTTGAATTTTATCAATTGTACTGGCGTAAACAAGTGTTGGTAAATAATAAATAGGTTACCCTACAGGTGACGATGGTGGCCAACGGGGTAATTTTAGTGAGGTAAGAAACCCAAACTCCTTAGTTTTTGCCCCAAAAAAGTTAGGCGTCATTTGAAGGTTTCCCCGTCATCAAAAAAAAGGTATTAAATGTGTTAGACCAAATATTTGTTGTGTGTTTTCAAAATATATCACCTAATTGTATGTATTTGACAAAAATATATTAATGAACTACTAACCTGCGACCCGCTGTACCTTTTAGATTGACCCACTTGAATTTCCTATGCTCCGTTCAATTCAATTTTCGCTCCTTTTCTAGAACGAGTGGTTCGGAGGTCCGATATAAAAGACAAAAATTAGCTAGAATTATCTTGTGGTCTAATTTATTTCATTATTTATCATCGTGACCTTTGGTTTACGTTTTATTTATGACATAATAATTTTTCGCTTGCGGACTGGGATCCCACGACTGAGACGTTGTTTTGCCCTAGTAAAAAAGGTTGGAAAAGGCTAACCTAACCTAACCCCTTCTCCTAAAAAGGAACAAAGATCGTTTCTATTGGCAACAAGTAGGTTATAGAGACCGTCGTGTCTACTTTTAATTATTTATTCAGTTCTTCTTTGATGCAGATGGTGAGAGATTTGACTTCATTGTGGTTGGGAGTGGGTCAGCAGGCAGTGTGGTAGCTGCTCGGCTTTCCGAAATACCAGAGATAAAAGTGTTGCTGCTCGAGACAGGGGGTGACCCACCCCTTACTAGTGTGGTAGGTATCCACGTATCAAAGTACAAGTCAAATATTCAGGAATTATAACAAATTTCCTCATTTAAAAAACCAAATAGATTGTGAGACTATGACGCCACTGACAAATGGTGAAGTACAACATCGTGAGGAAACCTGGGCTTATAATTTCTTATTATAAGTTTGTAATCGTCAATTCGCATTGAGCAAGCGTGGTGATTAATGCTCAAACCTTCTCTGTGCAAGAAGAAGCCTTTGATCAGCACTGGCCACAGGCTGTTGATGATAATAATAATGACATATTAACTACTAATTCACTGTCACATATGGCGTATGAAAAAAAAATTTTCATGACTTGTACTAGGTACTTACTCCACTCATATACCTACATCATGTTCTAGAATGTCCACACAGATCTTCAAAATCATAAAATAAAAATGAAATGTTATAAAAATAAATTGAGATCGAGGATAATGAGCGCCCTGCAGTTGATTTTGTTATTACTATTCAAACTATCACTATATCATAATATCCATACATTTAACTTAACCACAACCCACTCGCATGTTTGTTTTGTTTTTATTTTAGATTCCTGGTTTCTTCCCAACTCTTCAAGGCACTGAATATGACTGGAATTACAAAGCCTATTTTGATGAGGATGTTGGCAAGGCACACCCTGGTGGATACATTAACTATTCAAGAGGCAAGGTACTTGGAGGCTGTTCGTCTACCAACTACCTGGTATACGCACGAGGCAAACCCGAGGATTATGAAAACTGGAATCGTATAGCACCCGGCTGGGACTGGAAGACAGTATTGTATTATTTCAAGAAGTTAGAAGACATGAGAGATCCAATAATCTTTGAGTATCCAGAAAATGCTCGGCTCCATTCAACAACTGGACCTGTTAAAGTCTCCAGACCACAACCTTTGCCGTCAACTAATGCTATAGATGACTCCAGGTTACAATCTTACGAAGAAATGGGTATCCCGCGAGTTCTGGAGATTAATGGGCCAGAAATTCTTGGAGCTGCTCGACCACATTTCAATATTTATGGTGGTAGGCGATCGAGTACAGCAGAATCATACCTAAGACCAGCAAAAGACAGACCTAATCTGAAAGTGGCCAAGTATTCCACAGTCACTAAAGTATTAATTGATTCTAGTACTTTGCGTGCGTATGGTGTACAGGTGTATACATCTAGTAAGAAATATATCAACGTATACGCTACTGAAGAGGTTATTGTGTCTGCTGGTACATTCAACAGTCCAAAAATTCTCTTACAGTCAGGAATAGGACCTGATGAGGAATTATCAAAGTTACGGATAAAGACATTAGTAGATCTGCCAGTTGGTAAAAATTTACACGATCACCAGATTGTACCGTTGATTTATAAAGGAAAGCGTGGATTAGAATCAGCTGTCCAAAATGTAATAGCCGCTCCACATTTAGATACTTTACCTGTACCGGTACAAAGCGGTTACTTTAGAGTAAACAATAGTGAATACGCTTACCCTTCCAATTTACAACCACAAATTCAATTCTTCAACACATACATTGGAGCCGGTGCCTCTGCTGTTCTCTTGATAGCATGTAAAACTATAGCTAACCTTGAAGAAAGAGTTTGCTTCGGACAAGCAGCAAGCAATGCTTTTAATGAAATAGATTATGTTTTCCTTGTCCTTCTACACCCTCTATCAAGAGGACAAGTAAAACTTCGGAGTACAGATCCCCTAGATGACCCTATAATTGAGTTGGGCTATTTTAGAGATAGTTATGACCTAAAAGTGGCTACAGAGGGAGTAAAACGCATGAATTCTTTAATAAACACAACGTACTTTAGAAACGTCAGGGGAAGTATTCCTAGATGGAGTGTGACTGCGTGTGAACATATAGAATGGGGTTCGGATGAATTTTGGGAGTGTTATGCGAAGAACACTGTAGTATCGCTGCTGCACGCTGTTGGTACATGTCGGATGGGACACGAAGGTGTTGTGGACGAGAGACTGAGGGTTCACAGGTTAGCTAGACTGCGAGTAGTGGATGCGTCAATCATTCCATTGATACCGAGTGGCAATACTAACGCTCCGACTATGATGATAGGCGAGAAAGCTGCAGATATGATCAAGGAAGACTTTTATGAACGCAACAGAGTGTAAGCTGTATCTCGTTTTAAACACAAAGACAATATTTGCCAAAGTCTTAGACATAACTAAACATTATTATTATTTTTTACTTACCTGTGATGTATTTGTTGGCTGTTATTAGATCGTCCATTTACAGTACGAAATGCAAGTTAAGAGCATCCTTAACACATTGTCATACAATGTATAATGCCGTGACAAAATAAAGAGTTCCTTTAAGAGAGATTGAGCTGCTTTGATTTAAAGTAGATGTCCCTGTAAAAAAATATCGTTATTAAAAACAAGGTACTGCTATTCTTAATAACCTTATTCTATTTCTTTCAGAATTTTTTGTAGTTATCTTACCAATAATTTCGGTTCGGTTTAAACTTCAGAATGGATTATTGTTTTTATCTTCTATTTCGATGAGATTAATCACATAAGAGGCAAAAACATTTCTATCGATTTGTCATGATATCCTTCGTAGTTAATTAATGCTATCTTCGTCCGAATTTTCATAATTCATTACGAACAATGTATGTATGCGGGTGATAACGAGATTGCTTAGGAATGCAACATAGTAACCTCATTTATTAGGGTTCATTGCAAAGCTTGGACCCAAAAACTGATCACCCAGAGATTGGAACTAAAGTCCTTAGATGTTCCCTAACTGTAATTCCCCACGACATCTGTCAAGTATGGGGATTATGATAACTACTAGAAAAAGAGGGTTTGAATCAACAATTACGTATGGAACATTTTTCCACTTAAAATAGCTGATGATGACGCACAAAGAATACCATAGTCCAATTCATTTAAGGTTTGAATACTAACATTGTTAGTTCAACTTTAGATGGTATATTATTTGTTATGCAGTATTTTTTATGGGATAAGCCGGTAAATGGGCAGACGGATCACCTGATGGTAAGCAAACGGCGTCGCCCATGAAACCTGGAACACCAGAGGCATTACAACTACATTAGGATTATGAAGTTGAGGATTGTTGGCGATTCAGGGATTGGGACTAGGGGAGGAGTAATTGAAGATGAAACACAACACAAGCGTTGTTTCACGTCGGTCTTCTGTGAGGCCGTGGTATCACTCCGGTCGAGCCGGCCTATTCGTGCTGAAACATGGCTTTCACACGTATATTATTGTATTTTGTTGATCTGCTGGTCTTGCGAACTACAAAAGAGTGAAGGCCTCGCATTCAATACTCGATCAGTCAAAGTATAGGTTTTTGATTAAATTTTGTCCAAAAATATAGGAGACATACTGAAGACCTAGGCATTACATTTATATAGACAGTTTACCCGTATCCTCGTAATATTATAGACGCGGAAGTATGTATGTTTATTTGTCACTCCTTTACGTCAGCTGAAGGAATCAAGATGAAATTTCGAAACACACACAGGACCCTTTTTATCGCACGGGACCACTGACAAAGCTGCTGGCAGAAGCTATTAAGGAAAAGAAACCTTGAGGTTCTGTCCATTAAGATTCATTTTACAAGGAAGAAAGACACATGCAAGTATTGATAATGTACATATACAGTTGTATATGTACATATACAGTTGTATATGTACATATACAGTCGTATATGTACATTATCAATACATAGTATAAAACAAAGTCGCTTTCGCTGTATGTCCGTATGTATGCTTAGATCTTTAAAACTACGCAACGGATTTTGATGCGGTTTTTTTTAATAGATAGAGTGATTCTTAAGGAAGGTTTGTATGTATAATACATGCATATTGCACCCGTGCGAAGCCGGGGCGGGTCGCTAGTACTACATAAAGTATGTTGGTTCATACATAATCATCTGACCTCCCTTTAATTCAATCAAGTGAAATCGATTCAATTACTGTTATTATGAAATCACGAACGTCAATCACTTTGAGTAATTTTTGCAAGAACTGAAAACATCTCCTGGGTTTCATCTCTATAATAAAATTCATGAAAATTGCCTCAGGCTGTAGTTTTCTTTTTATTAGAGGGAGGAAGATAGTCGAATGAACCCTCCTGCTCTGGACAAGGCAAGAGCAGAACCGTCTAAGACGACTAATTTTTTTTTGAGGGGAGAAAATCATCCAATGTCTTCTCCCGCCTTGGTTTAGGCGAGAGGAAGTGTCAGACTCTTAATGACTAAAAACCACCCCGTTCCCACTTCTGCTCTTCAAGCCGGAGCCCCAGCAGCCCGTTAGGCCTTCCGCGGCTTCGTATATCTGACACTGCTCTGATGGGCGATTTTTAGTCACTACGAAGATTCTTACTAACCATTCCAACTCCTGCTTGGAGCCAGAGCCACTGTAACTACTGTACTTCTCCGCAGTCCCGATTGAGCTTCATACAGATATATAACCTAAAAGTGACTGTGAGCAAAAAACTGTGTCAAGACGCTGGTTTTTTATGGCATCGGGAGGGCAAAGGAGCAGATGGGTGACCTGATGGTAAGCAATCAGTGTCCCCCAAGCAGATTCGACATACCAGAGGAGATACAAATGCATTGTTGAACTTGAGAAGAAGCCATAGAGTCTCCGACCTAAAACATAATGTAAGGGTTGAGTAAAGCTGGGTGGTAATTTCTGGTGAGAAGCAAAACGCTGGTTGGCTGCGACTTGATAGCTGCTCCATGATTGAGGAGTCCTCAATGAGGATGATGATGATACCGCTGATAACTCTGAGAGTTCTGCTTCTAACGTCGCTCGCACCTTTTTAGCGAATTTAGATTACAATAAGGATGATCCTCGTTTGCCGAGTGGTCGCAAGAGGGACTGCCGGGCTAGGAGTCTCGGGTTTGATTCCCGGGTCGAGCAAAGTATTACTGTTTTATTTAATTTTTTTCTATTATTTTTAGTGTCTGTAATAGTTAGTATTTATTATATTTAAGTTTATATTATTTTTAAATACTTTTATTTATTACTAGGTTACTGGATTTTTTTTTAATTCTCAGTAGTAACACGGAGTCTGAAATTTTGGCCGTATATGGCAATAGGCTCACCCCCTATTACATGGGACTCATAACAAAATAGAGAAAAGTGTTACATTATACAGTCGCATTAAGTGCTATAATGTGCACCTCTGCCTACTCCTTCGGGGATAAAGGCATGATGTTACGTAAGGTGTTCCAAATGAAATAAAATGAACGAACAAACACATTTTAATTTTCTGTTTATACCTACTAGTACTTGCATGATGACTATCGGTTTTAAAGACTTCTTCATTATTATATTCTTTAAGATTTACAGCTAAATTATTATTGTTTTAATATTAGGTTCTTAATTGCTTATTTCCTTTGCATCTGAATTAACTTTATTACAATAATAATCGGTGTTTCTTCGAATTTAAATCGTTGACCGTGTATTAAGGATGATTAAATCAATCTTTAAGTGTGGGAGAGCCATGTTTCGGCACGAATGGGCCGGCCCGACCGGAGTGATACTACGGCCTTACAGAAAACCGACGTGAAGCAACGCTTGCGTAGTGTTTCATCGTGTGAGTGAGGTTACCGGAGGCCCAATTACCCTCCCATTCCTCAATCTCCCCAATTCCTGAATCCCCAATAATCCTCAAACTCGCCTCTGGTGTTCCAGGTGTCCATGGGCGACGCCGATTGCTTCCCATCAGGTGATCCGTCTGCTCGTTTACCGGCTTATGCCATAAAAAAATCAAGTTGATAATACAAAGAAATGGAAAATCTCAATAAGACCGATAATAATAAATAAAAAATGGCATTTTGTAACCCTAGGTCACTGTATACCCTGTCTGTTCATGAGTATGATGGTTTGAGTTCGCAATGTCATAAAATCGCTCGTTTACATGACAAAGTCTACTGAAGTGCTGTTAGAACATGATTATCTGCAGTCCGGATGCCCGTACTACGATCTGCTATCTCACACAAATCTCACCAACGCTTTCGAGTCACAGAAAGTCGAATTCGGAGCATTCAGGGTTATGTTTATTTGAAATTCTCTTATATGTTCTTCCATTAGCTTTCCAATAGCTCCGTTATAGTTATAATTCTATTTTTCTACTTTCTGCTTCTTTCTGCGTAGTGAGTTGATAAACGAAGCAATTTTACTTAAGATGGTTTTGATTGGTTTTATAACTCAAATTTCTGTCAAAATATCATAACTTCTTCATAATTCCTTATAAATATTGTTTAAAAACATGTATGTTAAGCAATAACTAAACTTGCGGAAGAATGTGATGGTAAGAGTCTGACAGTCCCTGTCGTCCTTCCTAGACGAGGAAGCTTCATGAGGATTATGAAGATTTCCCAACTTGGGGTCAAAAAATAAATAATAACTAAATAAAAATTAACTACGACTAGTAAAGTGACCTTCTATATCCCTGACAGCCGGTTCCAATAATCTATCTACCTTGTAATTTGGAATAAAGAGTTTATTTTGTGCAGAGCTAATGACAAAATTCTAATGGATGGAAATTAATAAAATCAATACTAATAAGTATAATATTCAAAATACAAAATAGGAAAAGCTAAGCCTGGAGTTAATTTTCCCTTATCTTATACCATTTTATGAAGCTGAAGAGTTAGTTTGTTTGAACGCGCAAATCTCAGGAACTACTTTTCCGATTAGTAAAATGCTTTTTGTGTTGGATAGTGCTTTTATCGATGAAGGCTGAAAAATCACGCTACGATCAATAAGCGCCAAGAAAAGCAGGTAAAAAAGAAGGTAAAAAGCGCGAAGAAGTAGCTAGTACTCTAATAAAGTAATTTTTTTAGTTACCACCATTAAAAATTGAGAAGATTAACTAAAAATCGCGGGTTTCTCAAGTGAATATACTGAGAAAGGCTCTACTAATAGAAGTAGGCTGCGCGACATCGCTGCGACCGCGCACGCTGTTCATGAGGAAAAACTCCTCTGTGGTTCGAAACTAGTAGAGCTTTTCTCAATATATTTAGTTTGTCTCGCGATAGTTATTATAAAAACAAAGTGAGAAGATTTCGAGTTGCGTTAACATTAGTAGTGGTTTAGGGAAGGTAATGACGCGACCGAGTTGATGTTGAACTGTGCTTAATGTGCCGGAATACAGTGAGCGTTTGATGGCCGACCCTCTTGATATCACTCACTTCCTTGGGGTAGCCAGAACTGTACGTTATTATTAAACATGGATTTGAAAAAATACGGGTCGAGATTTTAGTTGTTGGAATAGACTTATAAAGCTTACTAGCAGCCCGTCCCGGCTTCGCACGGGGTAGACAATTATTTATTTTTG